TTTTAGTATCGATTTGGTTTTGACCGAACCCTCAATGAGCGTGAACCGATAACAAATCGATGATTAGTCAAATATGGACTACCGTCTATCAGCTACCATTGTCAACCCCATTTTTTCATAGGTCAAATATTAGCCTCAAATTGAGGTCTTTAGCAAACAAATGGCACAAGATAAAACCACAAATTTAGTTAAGAGCCAGTTGCATACAAGTTCAGCAAATTATAATTTAGTCATACAGCACAGAGAAATAAGTTAAGTTTGCCATACTCTCTTCTCTAGCAGCTATTAGAAGGATGCACTGATTTACAATCTTTTGAGAATGAATCCATGCACAAAAATTAGTTTCGATCTAGGAATGACTACACACTAACCGCAACAATCGGCAGCAATCGTGCAAATGGCTACAGTATGCCTAATCTGTACCGAGAAAGTACTCCTCAGGAACATAAAATTTTAAGCCAATAGCCTGCAAACAAATTTTGAAATGAAATAATTCGTCAACAAAATGAATCAACAGGGGACGAAAGGTTGAGAAAACAAAACTTAGCTCTTCAACAAAAATTTAGAGCACACTCAGAAGAGGTCATAGGGTCAGGGGCTAAAGCAAACTCCAGTTACATTATAACGTTAGTTTCAAGAGCTGAAGCACGATGAGCTAGGATAACGCGTGTAAATAATTCAAAACTGAGCTGGAATGTTATTAGGTTGATGAATTTTGTTATTTCACAAACCTTCGCAAATTTTATGTCAGCATCACTGTGATCGTCTGTCCTTCCAGCCGCATCACCAACATAAAAGGATCTACGAAAAACACAGCAATACTCCTCAAACTTTTCAGTAGTTATAGAATTTGAACATGAAAAGAACTAAGAAGTTTCAAAACCAAAAATACAAAGTAAGATTGAATAACTGATCCATGTCAACTGGAAGACCGGAATTGAACTCCTTTTCCATGATCATCCACATCCCAGGTTTCGGTTTTCGAAACTGGTCTTCTGGTTCACCAGAACTCAATCCACAGGCAATGAAAACCTGCACATTACCAGTTGTGAAAAAAAAGTTCTCGATTGATGTCCATGCAATAGTCAAAGCATTTCGTGTTGGTATGAGCGTTGCAACTTCGTCATGGGGAACTCATTTCTAGATTTCCAAAATAATTCATAGTGCTTACTAATTACAATTGCACAGTGATAACTATTACAAATAAGGAGTTAACAATACGCCCTTGCGAGAATGTTAACAAAGAAAGGTAAAATTCATTTTAATGGCTTTCTTTTAGTCTTTAAACAAGAAACTGTATTTCGACTCAAACGATAGCATAGCTCGTGCCAATTCATTTACACAGCTGAATAGAATAATATCACAACTGAGCCAAATCATTACAAAGCATGGAACCACTGAGATAAATTTAATTAGGGAACGGTCCAAGAGTTTTTTTAGTTGCTTGAGCCAAATTGTCATATATATTTTTAATGGCATTTTTTGAATAGCCAAAATGGCTAGAACACTCTTATTTGAAAAAGAGTTATTTTTCATTTTTCTACTATGTGAAATGGCTAAATCATATTCATAATTTCATATGATTAAACATGTACAAATGTAAGAAACAAGAACCTGCATGGGCACTTTCACAAGTTTGATGAAATTTTCAAGCCTTCCAATTTTTGAATCTACAGCAGCCTGTCTCTTATTCTTCCACCGCTCGATGTTAGATTCATTGGTAAATATAACCTGCATATTCCAATTATATCAAATCATTTCATACATAACTCTGTTTCATAAAGAGTACATTGATTTAAAAAAGAAACAGACAAACCAGCTTGTAGCCATCTTTGTAGAGATTTTGAAGCTTCTCTGGTATTGAAGGATACATGAGCGACCATGCATCAGCACCTACTCTAAATACAATATACTTAAACAATTTAATTTCTTCACGTGATTCAGTTCCCAAGAAAAGATTGTTATATAGATCTGTGTTTATCGATCAACTTTCATAAGAAAATTAACATTTAAGAATAAAAGATCAAATGAAATTTACCTATGATACGGTGTTAGAAATTAAGTCATGAGTGTATTTATATAGTTCTCAGTTAGATATTAGCCCTGACTAGGAACTCAGAATGTCTGGCAAAAACAGTCTAACAATCAGATTTATTGTTTGATGGATTCTCCATTCCAAAACTCTAAGTCAGCCATGTTAGTAAACCTATGAGAGTGTCACACTGCAACAATAAGGTATCGTCTGATGTTCAATTTTAACATGAAAGATTCACGAGTTAAAGACACTTTACATATCTGGTGCCATGTTTAGAATTTCAGTTCCAATGGACAATATGCAATATCCATTGAAGGCAAACCATCATCCACAATTTTCCTTCTCAAGAACTGGTAATCATACCTTTTCACAGACGTCTTTGCCAGGCAACCATCAAAATCAAAGGCTGCAATTTTTCGAGAATCATGAAGACCATCATCCTACCACATGTTATAAACACAAACTTCAGATATAGCTCTAGTGGCAAAATATAGGAACTGCTCCTCATGAAAGATGACCAAGCTGATAAAAAATATCACTGTAAATTGGGCATATTACCTTCTCGAGAAATATGACTGTTTGAATTGCTTTCCATTTAGGCAATAGCGTAGCATCCTACAACATAAATTCAGAAATATGGTTAATAACAACAGATGAAGGCTATAAAATGAGAAGCTTGCTAGATCAAGTTAGAACTAGAGGTGATAATTCAACTTTCTTATGTAATATGTGGTAGGTGGGGGTTGGGGGGTTGCAGCATCTGACTGTATAGCTCCAGAAGGATCAATTCCAAAAGTAATGATACGTGCTATAAATACGGTTTGACATTCAAGACCATGGGATTATCATTCAAGCCATACCTTGTACTTGTCCTTTATATCAGAAGCATGTACAGCTAAATCCAGCGGAAGCTTTGCTTCTTCCTCAGATGTGAATAACTAGTAAAATGTTGCCACAAAAGACAGCCACAATAACGATGCTTTGCCTCCAAATGCAATGTAAGAATTAAATTCTTCCCGAAAATATCTTAGCATGATATTGATCAGTTGATACTAACACGTTCTTATAATATTCAAAGAGAAAAGGCTACAAAATTTGGCCATGTGTCGACCAACGCATAACCTGATGCAATCTGAACCATATATAAATTATCGTAGCTGGCTAGGAGCTGTTTAAAATATCTTAATCTTAAATTTAGCCAAATAACAAAAGCAATGATTATTTAAACATATGAAGCACAACATGGAACATATATGGCACAGTTTTCTCCTGGGGTGAAAAATTGTAAGGCAAAGTAAAAGATGCTTAGATCAAAGTTAAATTATCACCATCTCAAGAACAATCAATTGACTTATAATGGAACAAATACGAACTATCCATTAAACTCTACGTAATAATCATGTCATTTTATTTTGCGGATCATAACTGGTGTAGCTGTGTACCTTTTGCTTCTTGAACTTGCCCTGCTTTGGATCTTCGTCCACCTTTTCATCCATTTTAGCAACCTACTTGGAGCAAGAACAGGAAACAGCTTCATAATCATCCAGAGTCGGAAAGGATTAGGAGAAACATTAATTTATCAACATTCATGCACAGAAAATGCTTTATATCACTTCTTCTGCTACATTCTGTCTTTGGAAATGTGTATCACCATACACTCATCTCATACCAGATACTGAATCTAGGGCTTAAGAACTAGTTCTTAAGGGCGGCAAGGACTTAGTTCTTGGATAAGATGATCTAGCTCATTGCAGAACCACGCATGCTTCGAAAGCTACTCATGCCCTATCCGTAGGTCATCGGTGATAACAATATCGGCTAATATCCTACTTTTAGTCTCAAAGAGTATCTTTGTACGTGATTGATCTTTCTATCCAAGAAGTACAGAAAGAAAAAAACCTAAGTCACTATTGTATTGCGAACCATAAGGAACACTAGTAATAAACACATGCATGAAGACACAAACTTCAAAAGTGCACTTGCTTGAACTACAACCCAAAGGTCCCAAACCAACATGATTGCTACAGAAAAAAAGTTCGAGCAGATGTCTCTGACTTTCTGATTGTTGCTCCAGGTTACTTAAAGACCATCTTTGGCCATAACAATGAAGCATCTGAACCAACACTCAAGATGAACATGTAGTCATAATTTCACTGGAAACCATGTTCCAGTCTTTTACTCGTATATGAGTGTCAAACAGACTCATAGATGCTCATAAGACTACAAGTCAATCAGGGATTAAATTACTAAAACACATGTAGAGTTACAGGAAGCATACATTTGAGCAAAATATCATCGAACAAGTCTATTAGCTACAGAATCACAGACACCAATAGGAGTATTAAACCAAAATTTAATATACAAACTATCACGTTCTTAGTGCAGTCCATTGATTCCAGACCACATTGAATGGCTCAAAGAAGGGGCGAAAAAATATCAGCTTAAACAGACGATTATAACTTAGAGTTTGCACACTACCAATTTTTTAACTAAGCTCACAATAAGTATAAAGTTGCTTATTTCTCCGTGATAGCCCATGGTTACCTTGTCTGAAGCCTGACCCAACTCATTTACCAATTCCTTTACAGATTTCTGATCACTGCTCTGCAATACATAATTGCAGTAAGAAATTAAATACTATCTTTGACAAGTCAACACGATTACATAATCCAGAAAATAATGGAGGCAGACCTTGAGAGATGAGAACCCAGTGATAGCCTCGGCCGATGAAACCGACCCAGAACTGCTAAATGGGAAGCATTGCAGATGATGCCATTTGGTCATGTCAAACCCTCGGGGGTCCTTACTCATCATACCCAACCTCAGAGACTTCGAATCAATCGCTTTCGAACACTTCTTGCACGAAGAGCGCCCCGACTTCGCGTACTCAGCCACGATTTTCATGGACGCCGACGGTGACGGTGACGACGACGACGACATTGCAGAAGATGTTACGGTGATTAAGAGCACGCGGCTCGAATCAGGGCTCGCGGTCCTTGGGAAACGATTAAAATCGACGGCTAATTTGGTGAGGCGAAACGCATTCGGACTGCGGACGACGGAGACTAGTGTGAAGCCATTGGAGATGCTAAGCATGAAAACGAACGAGGGTTTATATAGGTTGATTCTGATGGGGATTTATGAAATGCGCTACTGTCAAAGTGTGTTCGAGTTTGAGTCTTTATCGAACTAACTTCATAACTAAACTAAACGAGTAGTAAGATTTGGGGATCGACTCATAGCTAAACAAAGCAATAAACGGGCTCATTTTGATTCGTTTATCAAAACAAGACAAACTCGAGCTTAACAAAGTCGATTTCAAATCTTAAATAAAGTCAAAATTTTGAGAAATTACGTAAAAATTTCTTATTTTCGAGCTTAAACAATTCTTACCCAAATGAGCTAAATTCGATTTTGACTAATCAGATAATTTTTTTACATGTTTTAATTCAAAATTCAATTTAATTTTAATTAAATTCAACTCTCATCAATATTATAATATAATCAAATAATATCACTCAATTATTTTGGCATATCAATAATTATAATTTGTGTGGGATATATATCGAACGTTCAGAATTAAGATTAAATAAAAAATCTATTCGGGTTTGTGTAGATGAATACAATAAGAACGACTGAAAACAAATCGAATGTGAAAGGTGAACGAGCGAACTTGAGATAGCGTTCTCGACCAGCGCTAATCATTAATAGGATTTGTTCGTACGATACGTATTAAATGCTGAGGGATCCGGTAATCATCCATCTAAGAATGTTTAACAAGCAGGGACACGCGTCGCGACCCGACTTCATCACTTGTATTGAGATTAGATCAGATGGTACAAAGCATTAAATGTGGTGTGACTAAATATCTATATGATATCTTGTAAAAAAAAATAGAAAATAAAAATCCAAATAGAATTGTAATAACACCTCACATTTCCTATAAAAGGAAGAAGAGACAATATTAAATGCGATGAGTAAATGCTCTCATTAATGATATAAAAGTCATGGATAGAACACCCATTCGTACCAAGTTCACTAATAAACTCTATTTGTGCAGACCGAACCTATTATACATTCTACTCCCTCCTATTCATAATAAGTGTCGTTTTGGAAAGTTTCACACTAATTAATAATAATTTTTTTGCCAATAATAACCCTCATTAATGAAGATAGAGATGGATGTTTTAAAAAAAAGACGAAGAGAATATGAAAAGACGTAGTTATTTATTAACTAAATGAGGGTAACAATGTAAAAATATGTACAAAAGATCCAAAACAACATCTATTTTGGTTAATAGTTGATAAAACCAAAATGACATTTAAAAAGAATAGGAGGTAGTAGTACATAGTTCGAAATATTGTTGGTCACATTATAGACATCAACATAATTTACTACTCCCTCCTTTTTTTAATAGATGTCGTTTTGGGAAGTTGCACACTAATTAAGAATATTATTTTTACCAATAATAATCCTCATTAATGAGAATAGAGATAGATGTTTTGATAAAAGATAAAGAGTGAAGATGAAAAGACGCAGTGTATTTATTAGCTAGATAAGGGTAATAATGGAAAAATATGTACAAAAGATAAAAAACAATCATTTATTTAGACAATTGTTGATAAAGCCAAAATGACATTTATAAAAAAAAAGAGACAGTATTTATCCTTTAACATATTTTTAGTTGCTTGTCATTTTCAATAATTTTTTTTGTTGTATTCACATCAAAATCATTGTATTTTAAATAAATTTAAATATAAATTTAAATTTCACTCATTTTATTTAAAATAACTCACTTTAATTATTAAATCCAAACAAATCGGTTTTATTTATATTAGGTCGCTCTATAGAGCTGAGCCGATATCAAGTCACAACTGATTCGTTCGAATTTGAATTTGCACTTGATTCCAACATATAATCGGAAATTCCATGACAAAAAAAAGTGTATCAAACTATCCACACACTCGGTGTATGTGACAACGTGGTTAAAAACCCCCATAAATGCAGTTGCCCTCGCCGGCTGGAAATCCTGAATCAAAGCGTCTGGCTTCAAAATCACTCATCTCTGAACAATTTCACAGTCATCTGCGTTAGTCTTCAATGGCTTGGCCCCGATTGGACCCGCAGTACGAACAAAGGCTCAGAGAAGAAGTAATCTACCTCCACTACCTCTGGCACCAAGGCCCCCCACGAGCCGCCGCCGCACAGTCCTCCCTCCACCACCACCACTTGCAACCTCAGCAACCAACCCAATTTCAGAGAGAGAGAAATCAGGAGAAGAAAAGTTCCACACACCAGCCGTCCAATTCGTCACCGGGGCCCGAATGGGCGGTTCCCGACCCTCCGCCGCAGCCGCCATCCGACGCGTGGCCCAATCAAGGAGCAAAACTCGATCGACAGCCTCTCACGCTCACCTCCGAAGAACAGTTGAAATTGGCTGGAAAAAACGCTCACCAGCGGGCGCTCAAGCTCGTCACCGAGTTTTTTAGGTATAGGGACGCCGACGATGATTCCGATTCGATTGGCAGCGTCACTGAATGGGACGAAGACTTATTGGATGGGGACGACGGCCGGGAGGAGTACAGCTTTTTCTACAAGGTCTTCAAGGAGGACACGGAGCTTAGAGAGTATTACGAGAAGAATTTCGTGAGAGGAGAATTTGGGTGTCTGGTGTGCGGGGCTCTTGGGGGGAAGAAAACGGGGAAGAAGTATAAGGGATGTTTAGCCCTCGTGCAGCACTCGACCAACATAGCCAAGACGAAGAAGAAGACGGCCCACAGAGCTTTTGGGTTGGCCGTTTGTAAGGTTTTGAGCTGGGACATTACTGAGCTCTCCAGCATTGTTTCTTTGCTGGCACAGGTAACTTTTGTTTTTCCATTAATGACTGAACTACTATATTTTGTGACAGATAAATTTTTTTGTTGGCCTCTTTCATGTTTTCAATTTATGAATGAAAGATTACATTTTTGCAGGGGAAGGATGATGGGGAGAACAAGGAGAATTCAGTAGCTGTTCTCAACAATGTCGTATCTGTGCAGGGCAATATTGTTGAGGGAAAAAATGAGGAAGCAGTTTCAGAAAGCAGACCTAGTGGTAGTGGAATTTTGCCTGATGGTGATGAAGAGAATATGGTATGTGTATATTGTGTAGTGGCAGATGATTTTAATAGCTTTTTCTGAAGTGCATACTGTACTTGTCTTTGTTCTTTTAGCAGAATCCTTCGTCGTGTTCTGATGCTTATAAAAATTGGAATATCTTGGGATGGTGAGTAACGTGGAAGAACCCGCAGCACAGGATTTGACTAATATTCATCTATTTTTTTCTTTTTCTGTATTTCTTTATATCTAATCTTATTTGGTTATAATTCCTTTGATGAATGATTCATCTTTAAACTTATGCGATCTCGCACTTTTTGGCACGTGTCATCCTCATTGTTCCTGGGAGTGGTTCCTGCTTGTGATTTTTGCTCGTAGTGTGGTTATTAAGCAATAAAGATTATTCTTTTGGAAGCACGTTATGATTTTTTTTGTTCTTGTTTTGTCTTTGGTAATGAAAAATTTTGTAGGAAACTGGCAGTTATGATGACAATGATACCCCATTAGTTACCCAAACTGTTTTAAATGTGGAGATCGATGCTGTAAAGGGTGAAAATGACGAAGCAGCACCAGAAAGTGGTGCTGTTGGTGCTGGAGACTTGCCTAGTGTTGATGGAAATACGGTATTTCTTCTTGAAATCGAACCATATATATTGTTATAACCATATATTATTATCTTTAAGAAATGAACGATTGTATTCTGTAGGGGATTGATAGTGGTTACGACAAGGAGATCCCATCGGCTTCAATTGAAAATGTATTAACCGTAGAAGGTGATGCTGTAAAGAGTAAAACTGATGTAGTACCAGAAAGTGGTGCTATTGGTCCTGGAAGCTCGTCTGCTGGTGATGTTGGAGATATGGTACTTATTCTTTGAATGTTTTTATAGTATTTTGGTGTGCGAAGCAGTATTAACTTTTTTTAATTCATGAGGTATAAGAGACTTGAGTTACGTTGTTCTGTAATTGGCCATTAACATAGAATCTCTTTCTCATTGGCTTGTATCATCGTCAGTATCTTTCTTGAAATCGTATGTTCTAATTCGGTTAGTGAGAACTGAGTTGAGGGTATCCCACAGATTTAAAGATAACTTTTGCAGCACATGAAAACCAACTTATTGTGTGAATTTATGGAGGACTTTATGCCTGACTATAACCTATTTGCAGTTGAATATTAAAATTTAAAATTGGAATTCATACAGGATCATTTCTGTTAAGTTTATAGGATCATATCTCGATATTATTTGCAGCAGTTCTGTTATATGGGTTTTTAGTGGCTCAGCTATGTTTACTTGTGCATGCAACTGGAGAAAAGAAGAATAAAAAAATCTCGTACGGTTGTATACTATTGCCCTTGAAGAAGTCGGGTACAATATTTTGGAGATGTTTGCTGTTGTTTTCGAGGGGTGTCTTGCTTTGTGTTATTTCTCAGTAAAAATTGTTGAATGCCATCCTCGAGCATTAGCATGTTCACGAAAAGATATAGTTACCCTTTAGTGTTATAATACACCATTGACAGTGGTTTTCAATATACAATAAACCTTTTTGTGTGGTGTGCGTGTCGAAAAATTGCAAATCTCATGCAAACATTTGTAATTTGCAAAAAATATAAAGGATCTTTACATAATTGTGCTAAACCTGAAATTCAGATTTTGTGACTCACCCTTGTTCATTGCACAGGCAGTTGAGATGACTGTGGTGATTTAATTATTATTATTAATATTAATATTTTAATTTATTTTTTATTTTTATTTTTACAGTTATTTGATGGGCCCTGATGCTAATCAGAATTTGAAAATTATCTGATTCATTTTCTTTGCTTTCGTTACCCTTGTTTCCCTAGAATTGTTTGATTTTGTCAAATTGGTGATCGGTTTTGTCAATTGAATGATTTTGGAAGCCAAAATCGAACCTCAGGCATTTACATTACTGCACAAGAACAGGTTGATGTGCTAGGTTTCCTTACTGTACTTTGGCCAACCTTGTTTTGTTCTCATCTATAAACAAGCAAATTAGAACTATCTTAATCAATAAGAACTAGTAAACATCAGTTTGTGCCTCGGTTTAATTTTTTTTCCGACATTTTTTTGCTTGCTGTAGGTGCCTGAAAATGTTCTGAATTGACGAATAAAGACGATGCAGCTTGAAAAATCCAGAACCGGAACACGATTGGCTGCAGGTGGTTCAAAATCGAGCCCGGGTACCAAATGTTTTGATAAATCGGAGTAAAAATTGAATGGCTGTACAGAGTTCTTTTTCCTTTTCTGAGTAAACTAAAACAAACTGCACTCATGTGCATTAAGTAGGTGATGGTTGGTCATTCCTATTCTAGTACTGATGCTAGAACTTTTGCTAATGGTTGGTCATTCTTATTCTAGATCACCTGCACGACAAAAAAACTTAGTTGAGCTCAATTGCATTAGAAAAAAATATAAAAGAAGGCATAATAAAACAACTATTTAACCATAAAAAAGAAAAACATTTTTTAGAAACGGTTTCTGTAGATTTGTAATTAAAATGTCATGTTTTAGAAAGGCGTAAAACAATTATTTAATCATATTTAAAAAAAATAACATTTATTGAAGAAGTACAACAGATACATCTATTTAAATTTATCCATAGTAACAGTTTTTGTGTCAATCAGTTTTAGTATCAAATTAAACTAAAATATTTTTTTTAGAATTTTGAGAAAACAATATCAATTGTACCACTGCTCTCTAAATGAAGGAGATCTCCATTTATCCTTACTCTATAAATGTAGAAAGCCTAGAGTGGCTCCCTATTATTTCTATTTTTTCTTTTTTTTCCTTGTGATTTTCAATGCTCCCCACTTATTGTATAAATAAAAACAGAGTGTTGGTAATAATGAGTCTGCTAAGTAAAAGTGATATAAAAAGCATAGAGTCAAAATTTAGGCCTTAGGGAGATAAAAAGTTAGAAATTTTAAGTTAGAAATTGTAAGGGCATCTACATCGCTGCGTTAAAGACCACGTTTACTGATTGAATGAACGCCTTGTGCGTTGTGGGCGTTCATTTGTGTAGTGGGGACCAATTGTTTGTTCAATAGGCTGAACGCTTGTTCAGCCTCTTTTTCTATTTTTTTTTTTTTGTTTTAAAATGTTATTTTATTAAAAGCAAGCACCATAATTATTTTTTATTTTACTTTTTGTTTTAAAATGTTATTTTATTAAAAGCATGCACCATGTTTATTCTTTTGTTTTATTTTTTGTTTTAAAATGTTATTTTATTAAAAGCATGCACCATGCTTATTTTTTTGTTTTATTTTTTGTTTTAAAATGTTATTTTATTAAAAGCATGTACCATGCTTATTTTTTTATTTTATTTTTTGTTTTCAAATGTTATTTTATTAAAAGCAAGCACCATTTTTTATCTCAATTTTTTGTCTATAAATACACTTCAGTTTCTCACTTCTCTTGTACCAAAAATTTCTCACTTCTCATACACCAGAAAATTTAGCTACTATTCATTTTCCTAAAAAAATGGATCCGAATAACAAACAAATTTTTTAAAATTTCTCAAGTTCTAATCCTAGCAATCCAGATGAAAATCTATTCTTCTAATCTTAGCTACTATTTATTTTACTTTTTGTGGTGCTTTTTTTTTTCTTTTCATGCATTTAAAATATATTATTATAATTTTTTTTTGGTACATAAAATATATTGTTATAATTTAAAAGTATTAAAATTTATTTTTGTTGTGGATAGAATATAAAAAAATTATATTGAATGAGTGGATAATGGGTCCCACATATGTACTTAAATGAATGAGTAGGAATGTGGGTGTGTGTTTAAATGAAGAGAGATTTAGTGAAAAGATGATGTGGAAATGATGTGGATAAGAGAGAGTGTTACTTTTTGATTGAATGAATGGTTTTTTGTTTTTAGGGATGTGGATGTCCTAAGGAGTCAAAAGTTGGGAGATAAATTTATGGAGTTTGACAAACAGGCTGATGAAGATGGTCTAAGATCAATATGATATACTTGAGGTTTTTCATTTCTTACTATTTAATTATTAAAAAAAAGGAATCCTAAAAAGGTGGGATGCTGACAGGATGATTGGATATAAAAAATTTTGGTTTTGTTTGGATTTTTTTGTTTGATTTGGTTAATTTTGAAAAAGTTGGTATGGTTAGTTAGTGGATATAATAATATAAGTAAAAACAGGCTAAATTTAGTGTGACTTTTGCTAATATGTTATATACGAATTAATATTTTCTTGATTCATAGTTTGTACAAAAAAAAAATATATATCTTTGGTATATTGGTTATGTTATTTTAAGTTTTTCATCCCTTTCTAAATAGTAATTTTTAATATTTTATATTCTTATGTAATACTAACTCACCACAAATATTTTTATATTCTGAACTTTGCATTGATGATAATCTAATAGTGCTAAGAATTCAAGTATATCAAAATACATGCTATAAGATCAAATTCTTTTATTAATTAATTAATTGTTATATATATGCAACTTATGTAGTTATAGAAAACAAGTAATTTTTTTTTTTACAATTAAATAATAATAAAATTTGATACCAAATTCAAAATAATAGTAATATTAGAATTGTAATGTCCAATTTTGAGATATCAGCGCCTACGCTTATGGACAAGTTTTGCCCTGGAACTATGTAGGCTACTCACATTGATGTAGTTTGGGCTAACAATGATAATAGCACTACGACTGGGCCAGCCCGTCGTAGAGGTAAATGTAGAAAGAAACAGCAATGGGAATTTTCTAAATTCCATCTGTTGGCCCAACACGAACCAAAACAAAAAAGAGAAAATTACTCCACGCACCAACTTGTTCATAAAATATTACACATCTACTAAAAAAATATTTTATTAATATTTTATTTACAAAAAGGCATCTGCTAGCCAAAATATTTGTAAAGATACGAGATTTATACGCATCAATTATTTTCCCCTTTTTCTTCCCACTTACGACAAATAATTGTCTCCACCTTCTCTTATCCTTATTCTTTTTCTTCTCAGATAATCATGAATTTCCATTTCTTCTAAAAATTTTTCTTCTTTTTCTAATTTCTCCTTGTTCGTCTGCAATTTATCCCTCAAGAAGACAACAATTGGTGGACGTTGTTTGTGCCGATAGAGAGCAGCGGGCGGCTGCAACTCCGGGATTACTTGTGCGGGGCGCCCAATCCTCGAACTCTCATTGCTTATGGATCTTGCACCGGCGACGGGCACATCTCGCAGTGATGAGACCTCGAATTGATTGCTCGTCCAACGACGAATCGTTTAATTTTGATTTTTTTATGCGGGAGTTCAATTAGGGCTTGAGTAATGTGGATTAATTTCGACGCCTGGATCTGAAACTGTTTCCAGTATATGTTCTGTATATGTTTGGTATATGTTCGGTATACATATATAAACTCAGAAAATTAGAGTTATTTTCAGTATATGTTCTGTATATGTTCGGTATGTGTTCGGTATACATATATGGGGAGAGTCCAATCGAAACGGGTTACGGAGGCCGAAACGGGTTCGTCAAAGGTCTCGTCTATGGGGAGAGTCCGATCGATGAGCGGCCGACGTCGCGTGAATCCACTGGGCGTAGAGGGAAAGACGGCGGAGAAATTCTTTTCTCTATTACACAATCTAGTATCTATATAATTTTTTCTCTCTCTTCTGTTACGAAGGGTTGTGGAAAGACGGACACATAAATTCTTTTATCCAAAGGGTTGTGGAAAATCTTTTCTCTCTCTTCTATTGTGTTACACAATTTTGCATCAATATAATTTTTTATGGTCAAGTAGGTATGTTTGCAAATAAATTTTGTAGTTAGTATTTTTACAAATATTTATGAAATAGTAAGGTAAGTATGTAAATGAGCCCAACAAAAAATTAGCACAAACTCTAATGAGAAGTTCAATTACAAAATATCTATAGTTTTTACTGTTGGCCTCTTTTACTACTTGTCTGGAATTTCGAGTGACAATTTGAGATTTTTTAAAATTTTCAAATTTATGAAGATATTTTGTAAAATCTTAAGTCTTGAGTTGAAATTTGAAGTAAGATTTCAAATATGAATTTTTTTTTTCTTTTGAAATTCCAGCAAATCTTAAACAGTCTTAATAAATTATAGTCTAATAGAAGTTAAATATCTCAAGATTTCGTAAGACTTTCTAAAATCTCAAATAAATACCTCAAGATTTTTAAAAGTTAAAAAATATAAATTAAATACATCAGGATTTTCTTTATAAATTTCATACGAATACACCCCTTATTTGAATGGGTTTGTGAAAAGTTTGGATATCCTAATTTAGACGGAACAAACCGTTTTGATTCCATAATTTAGATAATTCAAAACCTCCAAATTGAAATGATATTTTATCTTGAATTTTTGTTGGCTATATGGATTTTCAATTCTTTTATCTTCACTTTTGATTGGAATAATTGATCTTGATCA